GTAGAGAATTTACAGATGCATAGGGATCTATATTTCAGTATACCTGTGCCTTTGTTTTTCTTGTTTGTGTGATAAGATACAGGGAAAATAAAAATACTACATGCAGCCATGAAAATGGGTATAGGGATTTTAAATTAATTTTTATTTACAGTCTATGTTCAATCATTGCTTTTCAAAGCAAGAGTCATGCTTAAAGTTTACCAATAAGATTTTGCTGTTTGTAATGCAAATTGCAGGAATAAATCAATATGTGTGCCCAGTGGCAGTTCTAGGAAACTCTTACTGCAGTGGCTAAAGGATTTCCAAAGGTGGCCACATTAGCATGGTGCCTGACCAGTGGTGTTTCCAGAAAATCTTGATGGGGGGCGGGGTGGGGGGGGTGGTTGGGGTCAGGTACAAACACAGCATCTATATTTTCAGATACAATAGGCCAGATTTAGATTTTTCCTTGCTAATAAAGCCATGTCAATATTTATACAATAGCGCTGTTTAAACTTATTTATGGTTCTACATGATATATACATTAAATGGGTTGAGCAATGTTCTTTTTCTTTGGAGATGAGTCCTGGGTGGTTACAGACAAACTCTCCCTTATTAAATCTAAAAACTAATTTATAAAAGATCAAACAATCTCTATTACTTCTGCTTTTTTATAGTATATAGTTGTGAATAATTTTTGCTACATTGTGTATTCAGTTTTTGCTTAATATACCAGCTTTAAAAGGTCATTGTAGAAAATGATGGTATCACTGCTGCCACCATCAGGTGAGACCTGCTTGTTCCAAGGGTATCAAATTACATCCCTGCGAGAACAACAACTCAACTAGTAGGGTTGGCCACAGGGGAGGGCAATGATTGGCCAGGGGTGGCTTTGGCCCCCCTGGCCACCCCTCTAGAACCGCCCCAGCAACAGTAAAATTTAAATCGACTTTACCCCATCAATGTATTCCTCGTGGACAGCTAATGGATTACTTACCCCGATATCTACTTTATATGCTGAAAACTGCTTACATATGTGTCTTATAATGCTGACTATAAGCCCTAGAGATTATAATGAAAGTTTATCCCACATTTATTGTTAAAAATCCTGTTTTTGTGTCTGAAACTTCCTGTTTGCCCTCCTTAAGTTAAAAAGGGGTTACAGCTGTGTTGGCTATTGGCCTAACCGAAAGCAAGTTGTGATACTGTAATTGGAAATGAAAACAGTTTATAGAATTTTCGCAATTTTTTTAAAAGACCCGCCTTCTCCACTTTAAAACAACTCTGTGCCACGGTGCCTGCGCCATCTTTGTTATTGGTCGCCGCCATCAGGTAGCAACAGCCTATGGCGACAGCGCGCTGCTGTGACAGCAAATCCCTAAGCATTCTAGGATATATCTGCCTCTTCTGAGGCTTTCCTTTTCTTCTCATACACTTCCTAGACACTTTTTCTTTTAAGACCCTCGACCATTTTCAAAGAACTGTGGTGAGAAAGGTGAGCTTCAGTGACTGGCTGAAACCGTAGCTCACGTCAGACGTACGCCTGAAAGTGCGAATGCTCAGAAAAAGAAAGCTAACGGGACAGTCTTATGTAAACAAATCCCCAGAATGAATGACAATTAGGAGGACCATTTATTGAGATGATCCACCCAGAAATAAAAGATTGTCCTACATACCTTTAATGTAGAATACCGGTAATAGTAAGCACATAAAATTGGATAAAATCACATTGGCATCATCTGTCCAGTCTACGCTAATCTTTTTCACGTTTGCAGTTTGAAGAACACCTGCTTGCTTCTGATGATTTCCTTTGGGGTCAGCACACATTTGACCAATAGCTAACCAATGTTTACGTTATATGACTCATCCTATTACACTAGTTTTCACTAGGTTTGCATGGCGCCAATGATCTGCATTGGATGGCGCACATGAAGTGAAATAAATATGTATAAACATTAAACAGAAGCCAAGAGTAATGAATAACGTTTGTTTTAAAAATATAAGGAATAGAAAGTACAGATACTTTTGTAAAAATGTAATGAGTAGAAATCAGAAGTAGGAAGAAAAATAAGTAATGGAGTAAAGTATAGATACCTAAAAAGTTTACTTAAGTACAGTAACAAAGTATTTGTACTTTGTTACTGTACTTGACACCTCTGTTAGCAAAGGCTTAGGAAAGTAAAGTTGGTCATTATTTAGAAAATATAGTTATGCTCGTTCGTTTTCCTGTTGGAACAGGGTAGATTGACCCTGAGGTTCTGGATCCTCTTTCAGCCAACCCTCAGTGTTCATTGGTTATTGCCTGGCCACCCTTATTAAAATGTTCTGGCAAGTCTCTGCTCTGTTCAAACCAAATATAATTGCAGTGGCGGTTCTGGACTAAATGTACCAGGGAACCAGCGTGTTTTCATGGGGCCACATAAAAGCATGAACTATGAAACAGGGCAAGGGATTCAAACAGTGGCGGATCTAGGGGGTGGCTACTTGGGCTGCAGCCCTGGATGTTTCCCCAAGAGCCCCGGATCTCGCTTCTGAGCTGATTAGAGTAAAATGTGCAGAACTGGAATTCACCAGAGAGTGGCAGCATGTGCAGGAAAGTAGCCTGTAGCATTCCTGTGCAGAAGAAGTCCCCATTAGCTGTTGCTAAACAGACTGATGTCCCAGGTAGAGTCCTGCACGGGTCGAGTTTTACCAACCCGCACCCGCCCGAACCCGTTAGGATGACTACCGAACCCGACCCGTCACCCGCGGATATCTTCAATTCAAATCCCAGTGCCTGATTAATATAAAATTTCTGATGTCCATAACAACACACGCATTAAAAAAAAAAAAATCACCAACTACCCGCCCGCACTAAAAAAATATCTGCCCAACCCCGCGTACCCGTTTATTTTTATTTATGTATTTTTCACCCGCAAAAGAGCACTTTAGCGGGTGACCCGTCGGGGACCCACGGGTACCCGACCCGTTGCAGGACTCTAGTCCCAGGTATGTGAAGCTCTGACTGACTTCCAGACGTTCTTTGTCCTGGAGTTGTATAAAATTCTGTTCCCCTGACAGAAATAAAAGTCAGAAGTAATTATCATTTTTCACTGCTGATATACAGTAAGAGGACGGAAACCGGCTGATGGCAGGACACAAAAATTAAGATTTCCAGAAAAGATGAGAGGGTAGACTTTCTGGTAAATCCAGTTCTAATGTAAAATATGACAGATTATTGGATTAAAGAAATTTCTAGTATACTACATGCTATCAAACATAAAAATTTTTGAGAATTTGGAAACAGTTGCTGTTTATTTCCTAAACATATGGGAGGAGGAGAGGAGAGAATGGATATTTCAGCTGCCTGGAATATTCCGTTCCTCCTCCATAACATGGGAAGGAATTAATTCACCTACAAATCTTTAACTGTGTTTATTCCTCTCATCATCAACAACAAATCCTGTGGATTTGGTGACATTAAATCATTATTTGCCAAAGTTATGAAGGGAAATCGTATATTTTAGCCACCTGATATAATCTGTTTCCCCTTTGATGATCTTTATGAAATTTCTTTTCTGTTTAAATGTTTATTTAACAATTTACAAATATATTTCAAAAGAAAAGTTCAAACCAAAACAGCTGGACTTTGTTTTCCAAGTTTGAATATGTTTCGTTTTCCATCCAGAGAGCTTTCTCAATTCAAAATGTCTGAAGTAATGCTATTCCAGACATTTTGAATTGAGAATTGACATATTCTTATTAACTATTTAAGATTTCAAAATATAAAATAATAAATGTTTCAAACATAATATAGAAAAATAATGACAGTTTCAAAATTCACAGGATTTGTTTAATTTTTCCCATGTTATGGGGGAGCAGATTATATCAGGTGGCTAAAATATATGATTTCCCCATAACTTTGGCAAATAATGATCAAATGTCTCCACAGAGCTTGTTGTTGAAGAAAGAAATAAACACAGTAAAAGACTTGCAGGTAAATGAATTTCTTCCCATGTTATGGAGCTGGAATTGTAATGTGTGATAGCATGTAGTATACTAGAAATTTCTTTAATCCAGTAATCTGTCATATTTTACATTAGAACGGGATTTAGCAGAAAGTCTACACGCTCATCTTCACCCTCGGGGCTAAGCCCCTGATCTCCTAGAATCCTAGATCCTCCCCTGGATTCAAATATATTAAGATAGCTGCATGAGGTGAAATTTCAATTCAGTTAGGTTTAATAAATATTATATGTCTAATTAGGTCAATATATATGGAATTTTACATATTTTTGACTTAAATGGAGTAAAAATAACAGTTTTCTTTCAAAATCCAGCTGTAAAACAAGTATTTTTATTTTATTGGTCTTGGAAAAAAACATTTAGCAGATGAAAACAGGGACTGTATCTCAGTACCGCTGAAGCTATCACCTTATTGTTTTAAAATATTTAGTAAAACAGAATTTGTAAAAAAAAAAAAAAAAAAAAAAATATATATATATATATATATATATCAATAGGTCCAATTAGTAACCATGTCTGTTCAAGTACATATCGTCAGTAGTATAATGTCTTCAATACAGGGGCCAGGACATGATTTAAAGGGGCACTGGCCCCCGTTGGCCCCTGCGTAGAACTGCTCATGTATAATTGTATTATATTTAACATTGTTTTGTTTAAATGTGTGCACTAGTTGCATTCCAATGATATTATATAATATTTTAATATTATGATCATTATATTTCTCCCCACCAGGCTTCCTCAGTGGTTGTGTCACTGATTACCGTTGCTTAGAGACTGAAGTAGCTTTCGTCTTTGGTCCTGAGAGCCACTTGTCTGAAACCCAGACGCATCCTACGTAGGTGGGCGGTGAAGCTTTACCAGCCTCATGGGGAGGGGGCATTATTTGAATCCCATGGTAATATCTTTCAGTTTCAAAACAATCTAAAGAGTTCTGTTTTTGATGCCAAATGGCTTTATGGCGCAGCTTTCTCTCACTCCGCTTGCAGGGTTCTCAAGTTTCCGTTACAGTATAACGTTTCAGGCGCGTTACTTGGTATCATACCGCCTCGAGCGCTGCTGGCCAGATGGCAGCGCGAGGTAATCTTCTTAATAGCGCGCGCCGCATGTTCTGAATGAGACAGGGAGGCACACAAAAAAAGGAATAACAACTTCAACAAGTTCAGCTTTAACCTAATGTTTGTAAACGAAGACGGACAAAGTTATTTAGACGTGTTTTACAATAGACTACCTTTGAGGGGGGAAGTTAATTATTTTACCGGCTGACAGGTGTGAGGAGCAACCTGTTGAAGATTTGTTTTTTTGACTCATGCAACAACAAGTGGAATGCTGGTCGATGGCAGACGGATGATGGGGAAGAGGTTTTTATAGGAGGTAAATATCCCGCCACTACTACATATTTAGTATGTTTTAGTATCTGCATAGATTTATAAATTTGCTCTGCACTGAGAGAAGCATGCGTTATTAGATTCAGGGGGAGGCTTTGCTATTTTCTAACAGACTTTGCAGCAAAGAGCCGGGGCCATGTAATATAACACTTGAGATGACTACACGGCTGGCCTCTTTTTTTGTGTGTGTGTCAAAATGTGAAATTGAAGCTGCAAAGTATTGTAATAAATAGAGCTTTGGCCTAAGCCTCAATTTCCAACAAACTTATTTGAGAACCTGTTTAGTTGGATAAAACCTGGGGGCCAGATGCTGAAGGAAAAAGGGCATGTTTAATTCAATGGAAAATGAAGAAAAGCGAGAGGCAATGTAGCAGTATCAGTTGAGCTGTGCCTCCATCAAGCTGTACATGATAGTGTGGGCTTTGGCCGGGGAATAGCCTGCATGGCATTTCACTCTCCTCAGATTTGTCTGATGTTGGATTTTGGTCTGACCAGTTCTCTTTCTCTTTTTTTTTTCCAGATTGTGAAATCCTACCTATCATGTGGAGGCTTTGGTTGTGGTTTGCCTGATTTGCGGATGTGGGGGTGAGGGACAGAGACTGTGTAACTGAGGACTAATCTCAGTAGCTTCACCCTAGGGGCCCTGGTCTGTAAAAATGTCCCTGTAAGCGTGGAATCCCGGAGCCATGACAGTCATCACTTATTCACACAGCTTGGGGAAGCTACAGAACAAAATTCCAGTTCTTGAAGATCCTGCATCCTTCAGGACTGTTCCGGAACCCGTTGTGAAGATCCATAAACCTAGAACTGTGCTGAACTCTTTAAAGATCCAAGAACTGCATGGAGTTAAATGTATAAAGGTCAATGAAAAGAATGATAATAAAGAAAAAAATATTCTAAGGAAGCTCCAAACAATGGGCCAAGATGTTCACATTTGCAGAAAAGACCATAGAAAATATGTCAAAGGATCTGTCAAGTTGGCTAATGAAGAGGATGACAGCACAGATCTCGCAGGGATATGTTCGTTTACAAAAAAGGGGAAGGATATTCTGCAAATATACAACAGGATACAAAACAAGCAGCTCAGGCTTGTGTTTAAATTGGCAGATCGCAGCGCAAATGGAGGGAAAATAAAGATGAATTTCATGAGACTTGGGCAACCTAAGGTCCAGCTCTGGTTATGTCTTCTTATCCTGAGCTTCTGTGCTAAACCTGTTTCATCACAGGTAAGAGTGGTTTTGAAGAACTGTGTCTAGGCTGCAATTTAATCCTTGTTAACTATGGACAGCATTACTACTAATTTACATAGCGTCTGCTCTGCTCAGCTACAAACTGTGGAGCAAATAAGCAACAATTATGATCAATCAGTGCATTTAGAGTGTCTCCGTACTGCAGCAGCGAGCAGACGGTACCCTGGCAAACTTGATTAAATTCTGTTCTATCCGGAAGCCACAGCAAGACCGCAGTAAATATTCATAAATCCCATTGTTTCAGCAGGAAATTGAAGGATTACAGCATACATATGTTCGAATAGTTTACTAAATTTGACCTTATTTGCTTAAAAGCCTTATTATTTTAAGGCATTTATGAGTATTGTTATATATGTATGTATACTATCAACTGCCTACATTAGAACAATCACTGGGCTGTATGTTAAAATAGGTAATCTAAACCAAACAACTGAATATTTGAAGAACAAATAGAAACAACAAATGTAGCTTCTCTGCGCTCACTGTACTTGTCAGCTCAGTTTTTTTAATATATATATATAGCGCCAATTCACAACATGTCATCTCAAGGCACTTTACAATTTAACCAGATCATACAGTCAAATTGATTCAAAGTTTTCTACCTAAGGAAAACCAGTTGATTGCATCGACTCATTGACTTAAAGGCAATCCTTCATACCAAGCATGCTTTGACAGTGGAGAGGAATAACTCCTTCTTAACAGGAAGAGACTTTGAGCAGAACCAGGCTCGGTGTGAGGCTGGTTATCACCCATTGTACATATATATATATATATATATAACTCCTGAAAATATCCGGATGCCCTAAAACGAAAAGCGAAGAAGTTTTAATCAGTTTTAAAATAAAAGAGAGGAATTGCTGTGGTCTGATTTCCGTTTTATTAACAAGCTTTTAATGCTAAATCTGCACACATTTCCTGGAGACCCTGATAGAGTGGATTTATTGCAAATTAGGAGGTCAAAGAAGTTAGAGTGTAGCTGGACAAAGTGGGACTTGGTGGTTAGACTGACATACATATTGTAGGACATGCGCAACAATCTTAATGTTTTTTTTCCTATTTAGGTGTGCCTGAATTTTAGAGCTATTATTACTTGATTTTTTTTTATATTAATTATTAGTGACCCTTACTTCTGTTTTTGCCACTAAAACATATACTAATACTTCTTAAAAAAGTGTACTTCTGTAACTATTATTAAATAAATGAAATATATTTAATAATTTAATAATAAAACCAACCAAATTGTAAAATAGAACCTTGTCCCACAAGTTATTTTTAACTCTATTCCAACAGTTTTATTTTTAGATGGGATGCCTTTGATGATCATCAGCTCTCTATGCTTAATGATATTAGTAGACAATATCAGCTAAGACAGGAGCTTGACACCCCTTCTACATCTTCGCAGGGACATTTCCCACGAATGGAGAATGTTGCAGCTTTCAAACCTGTGTCCACACTGCCGGCTCGATCCACCTGTGGTTTTCCAAAGCAGAGCAGCTACTGCCAATCACCTTCCTCACGGGATGAACTGCATTTGTGTTTTGAAGCCATGTGTGTCCAGGAGTGCCCCTATAGATCCTCCACACCACCGTATGCGCAACTGCTCTTCGCTCCACAAAGGTAGCTCGTTGAAGCCTTTAGAAAGTTATTACAGTACTATGTATAGTCTTTGGCTTTTTAAATATATCCCCACATTATTTATTATCATTAATTTATTAGAATTATTGTTATTGGTACTGCATACAAAATGTTAGATGTACCTTTAAGTTAAAAGTACGTTTAGAACATTGGATCAAAAAGTCTTTATACATAAATAGATCTTTTATATTTTATGTAAGTAAAGCGGGGGTATCGGTGAGTAACAACTAATAGGGCACTGATACCATCTTGAGAGCCAAAACGTTATTCAACTATTGTGACCCATTCCAGGAAGGCAATAAAAAGTTCTACTGGATTCACTTTGTATTAGTCTTTCTCCTGCTTCACAAAGGTAGGCAGCAGCTTGACAAAGCCATGATGGCAATTATTTTACATCCAAGTAGTATATAGTTCTTCATATATACTCACACACATCAATTTCAAACAGAATACTGCACAGCCAGGTATCGGTACCAGGGCCAAAAAATGGCATCGGCGCAAAACTACTAAGTACTACAGAAGAAGGGAATAAAAGGGGATCATGAGTACAGATGATAGCCCATTTAATTATCAAAAAAGCCTGCTTAAACAAAAAAATAAAAACATGTTGAGATATTTGTACACATAAAACCATTTTGAGGTGCCTGTGTTGACCTGTATTATTTTAATTCTGCCAGGGGTACCTGTGTAACTGAAGATGTGGTTGACACTCATCCTGGGACGGAAACAGCGGCTGGAAGCACAACAAGTCCAGATGGACTTTCTGTTGTAGCTCAGAGTGTACTGTTTCAGCCCAGCGAAGATGGATGTCTGGTCACTCCTCCTTCACAGGCAATAGGACCACGTGGTTCCCTTACTTTGGCTGTCTGGTTAAAGCCAAGCTCCAATGGAGAAATGTGAGTTTGATGCTTATAATTTAAGCTCCGATGGAGAAATGTGAGTTTGATGCTTATAATTTAAGCTCCGATGGAGAAATGTGAGTTTGATGCTTATAATTTAAGGTGCCCTTAAAAAATGCTAATATTTCTTGTCTAATATCATATAATTTAATTGGGTGTATTCAAATAGTTATTGCAGTTTACCATTTACTGAAAAATCCGGCCCACTTTGATGAAAAATACAAATGTTCACACTAGGTGAGGTGTGTATGTTCTTAAGCAAAAATGTTTCTAACCATTTGTTGAATTCAGAGAAAAACAGAAAATCCTAAAATATTTTGAAGATCTAATGAGTGCAACATTTTTATTTAGGTCCTGGAGCTTGTAGATGTGGCTGTAACCTTTAAAAAAAAAAAAAATAAGGGTCCCTTTATTAAGCCTGCATACCCAAGTGACGTTGTTTTAAACATATTGGATTTCAGTGTTGCTTTTGGAAGAAACACAACTTTTAAGTATGTCATCCTCTCTGAACTGACTAACCAGTGTGGAACTTTTGATATAAAAGAGGGTTTTGTTTAAAAAGGAACACCACATTAGTTGACATTTTGAGTCAGATTTCAGATAAGCTAGACAGTGTGTTATCCATGGCCAGTCACTTAGAAATGGGTCTTATGGAAAAGTAAATCTAATTTAATTTATTAATTAATCTCTAAATTTAAATTCCAAAAAGCTAAATGCAATTAATTACAAAACAAATCCAACATGAAACTATACATGTCATGAACATTTATCACAATATGGCATCATAGAAAATTTATGGTGATTTTTCTTTTTTAAATAATATATTATATGTATATAATAATTAATAAATTAATTATAATTAATTAATTATAATTAATTATAATAAAAGACTACTGCATGAAATATATTTAATTTATTTGCAACAAATTCCTATGCTTGCTGTGTGGTTTTAAATGAAAAATAAAATAGTTTTTCACAACAACCAAATTTAAGTTCAAAATTAGAACAAAGGTTAAATGTGCTAGTCTATTTTGTTTTAAATTAAAATCGCATTTCTGCTTAAGTAAATTTTCTGCGGTAGCAAAAATCCTTCTACACTAAATAAGTACCAGGTTTTAGCTTTAAAAGACTTAACATTCTTATCAGTATTTATAATCTTGCAATCTGCCCCTTATAGAATCAATTATAAACAAAAGGGCAAAACGTTTGTTAAAGGTAACCAAAGCCTATGCCTGAACATACGAAAAAAAAACAACTTAATTGTGACTTGAGTAGTGTTGACATTTTAATGCTCATCTATTCCTTTTTTTTTTATCTTAAGATTGTTGTGTAAGAACACAAGCTGGCTTGTGTATGCAGCCTTTATACCTCTTTAAGCAGGAACTATGTCTCCTACAGTAGAGAAAAACTCTAGAGACACTTGTACCCGGAATGCAGAGAAAAAAACTTTGCAACTCTACCAATATAAGGGGAATCTGCAATATTCTTCCTTCATCAGCGAAGAGGGTCATTGTCCTCTAAACATTCTTACCTCAGTTGTGGCAATCTCAGGTACAGATTTTTGTGTAGCAATGTCCGTTGCAAAGGTAAAAGTCTACCAAGCAGGTCAGCTAAAGCACATGATGCTACACTTCTCTCCAGTGGTGGCTGGAGGTTGGTCACTGGTTGATTTTGTTTAATATATTCGTTTTCCTCTCATTCATGTTGCTAAAAATCAAAATCAGACTAGAAATGTCATAAAGCGGAATAGATGGACCCAGTATTCAAGATGAGACAGCCAGTGGGAAAGTTCAAAACGTAAGAACAGAAACGTGCTACGGGTTCCAGGAATCCAGAGTGCGAAGGCAGGTTCAGAGTCCTGTGCGTCGAGCATCCAGCTCAGACAGAAACACACTTGAGAGGCAGAATCTATCAGGAGTCTAACAGAGGTTCAGGCACGGAGGTGAGACAGGGACAGACACGGTCAGTGGGTGAGAGGGAGCGGAATCAGGAAAACGGAATCAATCCGGAAACGCTGAAACACTCTCACCACGGGTTAGGGAAATACCTTGCCTCTGGACACTGGCTGAAGAATAAACTCCTCACTGGAACAGAAACATGAACCTTGGAAATGAACCTAAAACTGACAGACAGGACACTAACAGAAGGCAAACGGGGAACAAACATCAAAGAATGATCTGCCACGATAGCTGGGCTGGATTGAATATAAAGCAGAACCTACAGGTGGACGAGATCAGAGATGATTATGAACTGGGCAGACTAGGCAGGTGAGTGAAATGAGCAATTAATGCCAGCTATCAGAGCAGATCATGAAAAGAAATATTAATGAATTGAAAGATGTAAACAACATGTACAAATCAACCAGTATTGTGCTTGAACCATTTTGTTTTTACGTATTTCTCAACCACCAAAGCTTTTCGTCAACTGTAGATGTCTACAAGGGTCAACGGCTAAAGACATAATTTTCGTCATCTTGTCATTGACACGTTTTGTTTAAATCTTGAGCTATTGCTTCGTTTATGTCCTTCACCATATCCAATTCATCAGTGCCCATGAATAGCTTGGGATGAAACTGTGTTGTGAGTGACACTGTTAGTATACTGTCCTCCAACATCACTAGAGTGGCATCTTTAATAGGTTTCAGTGCTTTTTGGACGTCTTCTGCACAAGATATTGGATTCTGTAAATGTGAAAACATCCTATTTTTATGACTTCATTGAAAAGTAGTTCAAGTACATGCGGCTGTTCTAAAACTTGACCCAAATCAGAGCTACTGATTAAAATAAAATTACATTGAGAGCAATAAATTGAAAGCAAAGTTCTGGTGTTTTGAAGAATGGTTCCTTTAAGAGGCTGTCCCTTTTCATCATCTTTACCGTAGCTGGATATCCTGTATCTCTTAGTAAATAATGCTCCGATACTGCACCTATGCGCCACTGCTATGCAATTGACACTTGTGTTACTGGAATGTCCCAGCAGTGAACCAACGATGACACTTAATGTCATTATATGCTTTGCAGATGCTCTGTTATTACCAATGTTGGTTCATCCAACTTTGCACCCTAAATGGTTGAACTGATGGGAATCACAGAAAACTGTGATTCCCATCAGTGACATGCATGAAAAGTATCACCATGCAAACTTTAAAGATGCAAGATGAACCCACAAAAGTACATTGTTTCTGTTTAGACCCTGTGTAAGACGAATCTTTCCATTTGCCATAGCTCGTAGCAAAACAGGAAACGATGTGAGAACAGCTTGACATACTGACACTTAATGACATTTGTGCAGGATCCTGGTTCAAATCATTTATATGTGTAAGTTCTGTCAAATATTCCGTTATAACTTTCATCCAATATTGCATATATTGGTCCTTACAGTTTTGTATATTTTTCCTGAAAGTGAAAACAGCCTGAAACTGATCTCATAAGAAACATGTCATGTCTGTTCAGGTGAGTATCACATCAGGAAACAACAAGCTGTCATGTCTTACTTAGACTCTTTGAGTGTTGGAGAAAGCGAGAGTGAGTGTGTTGGGATGTTCCAGGCCTTGCCAGAGTGGTGCACAGTTACAGAGGCTCAGATCAGCTTTCAATCACATGCACCAGTCTGTAGACCAGGGAAATGCATTCGCAAAACAGACCTGTTGACTTTGATTGGCAACTGAGATGTTCACAAGCCCCACTCCCCGTCTTAAATCTTTAAAAATATTTAGTTACTGAATCTTATGTGTTAGCACATCCAAGTAAACTGTTGTAGGAGTCTCCCAACTTAATTTTTTTTATATCGTAGTTTTAAGTACTGATCAATACCAATATTTAACCGATATTATAGCATGAATTATATATAATTTTATTTCCTTTTTCATTGTTTGGCATATTAGAAAAGGCTTTATGAAGAGATACTCAGGGAAAAATAGTCAACAACAATAGTTATAAGAACAACAAATTAAAAGGCAGTGAAAAGGATCTAATCAAAAATTATCACCTACAATGTTACTCTCCACTGTCAGTTTTTGAGTTAGTTGTTCATTTGAGCAAAATAAGTAACTCCTTAACTGCTTGCAGGTTTCTGAACAATTACTGATCCTTAACAAGACATCTTCAATATTTCTGTCTTTATTTACTGAAATACATCCAACAATGTTGAAGCAATAAAAACATAACTACCCATTAGGTAGTCATCGTAAATACATATGCAAAGTTTAGAGACATTGCCCATTTACAATGTGCAATTTCTAGACCTTTGCAGTGGAGGATAAGATCGATTTCATTTCCATGTATTGGCCGATCACTGATGTTCCATAATAAAGGAAATCGCTGCCGAGTGTCAAATTGGGGGTACAGGCAATCAGAACTACAAAGAAAAAAGTTAGACAAATGTTGGATGAGGCTTTCTGATATGAAACCAAAACAATATGAAGGTAATGACGTGTCTTACTGATATCAAGAAATAATCTATTTCTGTTAAACTGAGGTGGGCTGTGCCGAAAACGCCGATCACATAGTGGATTGTTGTATAGTATAGTTCCTATCGACGGCTAGGGACGTCAGAAGCTCCCTATTCTAGCTGGTTGACATGAGAAAGCATACTCCTTCCTGGTTCTAGCTCTTTCGTAACTGCCGTCGCTATTATAACACTTTTTATGGCGACAGCAGATGCACTTTAGCTTTAGTGTGCTTACTAATTTGAGGTATTCGGATTGAACGTGTGTTTGACCTCATAAGCAACTGAAGCTAGAGACCTGAATTAGGCTTGTTTAGTAACTCCTGTCCGGACATAGCTGCACCTGCTGACCCTGGCTTAGTCTTTATGAAATACATGAAGCCAGGTTGCAGTTATCATGTTAGACCAAGCAAGGCTTTATCTCTTATCATGGATTTCTGAATTCAGCTTTTGTAAAATGGGCCTCAGATGGATATGCATCTGGTACTTAAAGGAGGCCTCAGGTTTGGAGAAAGCTCAAATACAATACATCAATGGTTTCATAGCAATGCATTAGATTTTTTGCTGTTTGTAAAATTAAATTGGAATTGTCAGGTTGTCTGATATTTCTCAATGTGTTTACGAAGCTGAATGTCTGGGGAGTCAGTTGATGGAAAACTCTTGTTGTCTTGGCTTGCTGAACATGACACCTGTATGGCTGAATGCGTCTCAATAGAGTCATATCTCTCCCTCTCACTCACTTTCCCTGCCTCTGTTACTCTTGCTCTTGTTGCCCATCATTCTTTTGTTGTTGAGATGATCATGGCTGCCATCAAAAAAGCCAGATGAAAGGAGGTCTCTGTCTTCACCTCTGTCCATTGCTCCTCACCCCATTTCTTTGTCTCCTCATTTCTCTGTGATTTCACATCCCTCCTTTCAGTTGAACAATGGACAGAGCTAACCACCTGTTCTCACAACCCATACTATTTATTGCATCAATAACAAGAAACCGAATATGCCATGTTCTTATTTTGTGTAAGAAACGTTTGTGGTTTCAGTTTTTTTATATACCTGTGTATATAAATGAGGTCAATCGGAAAATGTTCAAAACTTTCCTAGGCTGATGAAAAGCAAAAAGCAGACAAAAGGGAAAAAATGACAGAAGAATATTTGACACAGAAATCAAACTAACACCAACATACATTCACGTCCAAGAATTTATCATACATTTTTCTCCAACGATTTATCTAATCTCTTTGAGAAACTAACCAACTGGCTTTTAACTTTGAGGAAAGAAGGTTTTGACCAATTGGTATTTGCTGCTTAATTATCTGTCCCTTTTAATCTGTCTAATAAATTTTTTTCTCATGCTTTTTTTAGACATGCATATGGAGATACAAGTCTCTGCATATGCTCACTGTCTACTGTTAATTTAAATGCTCCTTTTCTCATGAATCCATCTGGAGGATTCTGTGATTTATTGGGTATATTGCCCTGGGTTCATAAAAGCCATGATTTCCCATAAAATGTCAGTGGAGGTGGTTAATATGACACGTGGCGGTTGTAGGTTTCCATCCACCATGCAACATTCAAACCCTCCCAGTTATGTAAGATATTGGAATTCATTGTAAAATTGACAAAATTAGGTACTATGTGTTGTGGTGCTCAGCTTCAGTGGGCTTTTTTCTTGTTATTTTTTTTTTCTAGGCTTGCCAAATTTCAATTTGCGATTTGTTGACTGTTATGATGTGTTGTTTTTTGCAGGATGTTGCTGGAGAAAAGCTCAGAGAAGCGGTTGGTCTTTTCTTTGACAGTATCAGAGCGAGCTGTAACCTTCCGATACAATGCGACCAATGGTCGGACCTCTCCTAGTGTAAGCTTCAGAACAGAAGGACGGCTACAGCTGAACAGATGGACTCATCTTACTTTGCAGGTAGGAAATGGTAGTTCTTGGGATCAATTATCAGGATTACTTTTTTTAGGTTCTATGATTTTTAGAGTTTCCTTTTATGAAATATTGTATCTTATTTGATAGTTTTTTATTATTTATTTTATTACTACATTTTGTTTTACTGCATAAACCATTAAAAGAAAACAAAATAGTTTTCTGCTTCAATTTTGGATAAAACAAACAACTGAGGAAAAAAATGTGTAAGCATTGCCTCCATAAGGAAAATAATTGTCAAAGAATGTAACGCTGCAAATTTGTTCAATTCTTATTCAGATATTTAAAGCTTGTATATCCACAGAACCGGATTGTTATTGGATACCAGAGCTCTGTTTGTTTTAAAGTTATCATCATTACTGTTCTAAAGAAGCTGATATAAACTTCGCCCTACCAGCATGTATGAATGTAGATTTGTACATGTGAAAAAGGCAACTTAAGATTAGCAGAAGGACAGAAAATAAGTCAGGAAAACATTAAATTTTGTTTAGACAAATATACAGCTGTAAGGGTTCAAATTGGCTCTATTTATTAAGTTAAAGACATATGCCTATCAAGGAGTAAACTTTCAGGAGATTTTTAACTAAACTTGAATTTATTATAGAAATAGGCAGACTAAATCTTTCCCTATGGCTCGGGCCTTTTTTAATTGATACCCAATCTTTAATATCAATACCAACATTGTCTGTCTCATTTTGTATTTATAACATGAATATTTGTCATACATTTCAGAATTATCTCTTAAAATTTGGAGTGATTTTAAGTCACCATTTGGTAGATATTGTTAAAGCTTTTTTTGTGTCATGACACATGGAAGAGGCAGAACAATTATGCCAGTTGGTTTATTTTAGCCGTCTACTGTTATCCAATTGATTCAACTAAAGTGACTTAACTTATATTAACTATAGTCAAAATACTTAGAACATAAACTAGATAAGGAACATAAACCAATAGAAAATAATATTAAATAGATCTATAATGCATGTATTCTGATTACAAATCATTCGGAGGTTTCCGTTATTTTTATTTTATCACTTTGGTTTTCTTTGTCATCTACCTCAGTTCACTTAAGTGGTTTATGTCAACGGCAAATATTGTAGGTGAGTGAAAATAGAGCAGTTCATGGCATTCGTGGACAAAAAACTCTTTCATACACCATCATCACTCTTAAGTGGGAGCTAGTGAAGGGGAGAGAGTTTTGAGGTCTAAATGAATCTCTGTGTGTGTTATTGCGGTCTCTGATAAAGTGGATCATTGTACAGATTTTTCCACTGGACTGCCTCATTCTTTCATCATCACAAATACTGCCAATGACACTAACCAGAGGAATCATGATTACACTGAGCAGCTTTGCAATTGTAAATGTTTGTAATCTTTAGCAAGTAACCCAATTGTCATTTTGAGTGGACTTTTTTTTGTTTATGCACATTCTTAAATTTTGTGTGAAAGTCTTTGTAGTCCCTTTCCCTTGCATACAGTAATTGGTGACTGCATTGTATTACATAATTACCCGCTTTAATAACACTTTGCAGAATTGAGTGTAGTCCACAGGAAGCTGTTAAAACTTAAAAATTTTGTATAATTTGTCCTGCATATAAACCATGAGTTTATACTTTTACTCTTTTATGTGATTTGTTTAAAAAATCCTCCTGCTGTATGAAAACTGAGCAATTTGCAGCGTCATTCGATCTTTCATCCTGAAGAGGGAATCTAGCTTGACACCTTAGTTTGCAGTTTGCTGATGGGTGTTGATGCTGGAAAAATGTGGCAGCCTAACCTGTTGTTGACTAAATGCAGTGTTGCTGATGGCTCAGATTGTAAACAGTGAATAAAAAGTAAGCAGAATCCCTTCTAGGGATAAAGTTGTGATGTGTGTCTCAGCATAGCACACTACTCCATGTTCCAATTCAGACAAGACATTGAGAAAGGCTCTTAGGCCTTTTGCTTAAAGTGAGCCTTTTTTGTAGCTTTGGGGTGTTTTGATGCGTGGCGCAGTTCTGCGTTTCTGTAAATCAGTCTGCCTTTTTGTGTAATGGTATTGTGATGTGATTTGTTTTGACCATTCAGAAAAAGATCATAATTAGCCTTGACATGCAAACATTATTCACATACTCATGTTCTCACTCAGGCATGCACACACACTTATCTGCTCACTCTGTTACATAAACACGCTGACACAAACTCACTACTCAGTGGTAATTTGTAGCAATCTGTCAACCAAAATGCAGCTATTACTTTAAGAAGGAGAGAAGTAAAAATCCAATTTCTACACATATAGACAGACACAAGCATACATGAGCATGCACACACCAGTCATCTGTCAGTTTGTACAGATCAAAACAAAAAAAAAGACAGTCAAAAGGAATACCAATTTCCAAGTGCCAGGAGCATTTCACACACACACACTTAAGGTGCCAGAAGCAAGGTGCTGTAGGGATGCTGGTGCTCCCTAGGTAGTTGTCTTATCTGATTATGGTAACGATGTAGAGAACAACGGAGGAAAACGCAGCCTGAGGCAGGAAGGACTGACAGAGGAGGAAAGATGGGGGAAGTGAGGGAATAGGCTCAGTGTAGTTATAAGTGCAGTCAGCGAACATGTCTGATCCTTCAGAGCATTAGTGTTAAATGTTTACAAAAATAATTTTTAAGTTTATCCCCTCATACTATGCTCTATTCATGTTCTAAGAATGTATAAAAATGTGTTGCACAATATATTAGAAAATGTTTGCACAATAAAGTTTTTATTTTCTCCATTTTTTTACGAGTGATCAATCTACACATGTAAACAAAACCTACAAGGACTAAAGTGGTTTCCATATTCTAGATTGGGTAAGTTTACTGTTGCTTATGGCTAATGGCTCAGTAAAGTCGTTACTCAAGATTTAATCTATGTTTTATATTTATCTTATTGAGCTCGGTGTAAAATGTAAAAATTTATATGCGCTTCTTTATTTTAAACTATGTGCTTTTATTCAGTGATTTCATATTAACTTTTTTCTTTATTAGTGGTCTTAAACCTTTAACAAACAAAGTAATTGCATTTTTAATGAATTGTTCATATCAAACTCAATTCCAGTAAATTTTTAACCTCATTAGCATGCTGTCGCTCACCACACATTTTGTGGGCAATTTGCCTGCCACAAAATGGGCCAACACTTCAGCAAGTAATGAAATCAAAGGACTTTCTATCAGCTTTTTGATTTTCTACTTTTGGTTTAAGATCTGCTGCAAAGACATTTAATTTGAGGTTTGTATGACTTTATATCAGATTTCTGCCATTAAACCTATGCATGGAAGTCCCAAACTTTAACGTATAACTCATGCACAGAAACATATTGTGTGTATAAAATCTACTTTCTGTGTAACTCTACAGTACATCTGTTGCCGCTCTTACTGTTGCATTTCTTATATGTATCTTGTCTTGTCTGAGGACAGGAACCACAATGAATTTAGCTGGTCTGATCTAGTATATAAATCCTAAAGGTTTTTGTCTCTGTCACTATATGCATTTATTATTATTATTATTGCCACATCGCCAGACAGGACACTGTAAAAAACAAAACAAACAAAAAAAACTATATGCATTTATCATGATTGTAACCTTTACCAAATGCATAGTAGCCATCATTGTGAGGAGAAGAGGACAATGATGCTTTACTTGCTAATATCTGAAAAGTCAGGCTCTAGCAACACAAAATGTTTTGCTAACAGCAACAGAAAGAGAGATGACTGTTTTTTGTAGCAACCAGCTTATGTGATAAAATTAATGAATGAATGACTCTCTGAGTCTTAATATGGCATCAGAAGAACATTTGGTAAGCCTGCTTTTTCTCATTGCTCTTAATAGAAACAATGTGTAATGTAGATTTTTTTTGATTTGAGGTTAGGCTAGGTGACATTTGTAACTTTTTGAAATACTTCCAGATAACTCAGGACCCAACCATTTAACAATTCAAGAAGTGAGTCATCAAAAAGCTGTTTTGAAATAACTGAAAATGTAAGGAGAATGAGATTTAAAAACAAACCTCACCCCAATTTACATGCTTTGTTGCCTGCAGAGATCTAGGTTGCGGGTGGGAGAGTGGGGGTCTGTCTGTTAGTGCATTAACATTAATGTGAGCGGCAGCGATAGGAACAACCAGTCACACCAGTCACATCTCTACCCTGGCTGTCAGAATAAATGTTTAACACTTGCCTGCCTACGCACCCTTCCCTTCCCTTCTCTTACTATTAAACACAAAGCTAAATAAGTCATTTGTTACATCCACATGAATTTAACACACACCATTTGTACTTTTGTTTTTTGTATTTTTTATTCCTTTTTTTATAAAGTGAAAGAAACAAAAGTAAGGTAAATGACATGGATTTATTTTAAATACAATTTTTATCTTGCATAAGGTTAGTTGTTAGCTACACTGTTTCACTGTCTGTGCATTTTTTGTGGTTTTCTGTTAAACGTTTTTGGAATCATTTAGCTCTTATATGAATTTGGTCTTATTTAATCTTTTCTTCATGCTTGACAACTTGAGTTGTTGCGTTGCTTCATTTTCTTGGTGCAAACTTTGTTTGTTAACTAATATTTGATTATCAGTTGGTTTCAATCAGAAATATCTTAGTATGTGTTGTTAATGAACTTACTAAGGACTGTATTTAGCAGATTATCTATGTTTAAATGTATATAGTTGACCAAAGTTAAAAGGCAAAGTAAAGCTGCATTCATACCAAAAGCTTTCTGGGAGTCAAAATGCATGTAAAGTCTATGGGGGATGGCGTTGTGAGGTCCAACGTTGGGAGCGGCAATTCCGAGCATCCCTGCATCTGAGCTTTTGACGCTGGAGTTCAAAAATTTAAATTGCCACTGGACGGCCGAGCGTCAATCAATCAGAAAAGCTGATCCTGGAGTTTTGGGGAATTTCTGTAGAGCTGTTTGCATATGAAAAATAAATATCAAGAGTTCAAAATCCAAATGTTTAAAAAAAAAAAAAGCC